ACTATACAGAGAAAAATGCAAGACTGAAAATCAACATCTTCTGCAGCAGGACCAACAGTTTTTCCAGGAAAAGCCAATCTTCAGCCAGTACTATTTAACTTATCTTCATCAGAACTTGAACACAGTCTGTGTTGTCATTGCTTCACCGCTTTCCTAATTTTAGCCATCTGTTTTAGTAGATCCCCTCCTCCAACAACTTTACATAAAACAACAGATATTTTGGATCACCACTACAATCCAAAACAGAGCATCTTGTCTGAGCTTAAACCTTAATTCCCCCAGGACAAGAAAAGCTGTTATCCCTGCTCCCTACCAGAACTCTTAACAAACAAACAACAAACCCAAAGAAAAAGGAAAAAAAAAAGGAACAATCTCTACTGAAGAAGTTAATCACAATCCTAAATATATAAGCTCTAATTCATCTGTTTTCAATGGTTTTTGGACTTGGGGAACTGAGAACCTTTTAAGCTTAAAATAGCAACTCCTACATAGCAACATAATTGCTCTTTTAAGTGGCTTGCCGTACAGAACCACAGTGATCTTTAGACTTTACACTGATAAGGACCATTCCAGAATAATCATAACTTCTGCATGTGAAATAGAAACTACATTGGGGCAGAACTACACCAGGCTTCAGGAGGGAGCCCGCAGCCAAATCTGAGCCACAAAGGCCAGGCAAGCAGTGCACTGACTACACTCTCAGACATCCCTGTGTTCCAGCAGGACAGCAAACCAAACAAGAAGGGAGGACTGGACGTCAGGATCATTTCACCAGGCACTACCAAGCCACACAACGTTAAGGCAGATAATCAGAGAGCTTTTCAGTACAAATAAAGAGAAGAAAAGGGCATGGATGAATGTATGCACAAGAACAAATGCTTCCAGCCTGGCTTCCTCTAACTTCCTCCATCTATGGAGGGCACAGCTGAAAAGCCCTCATCTATGACCTGATGCACAGGAGATTGAATGTACAAGTAAACGCTGCCTCTCACCTTTGAGCTTACTATTTTTAAAGTGCAATAGTCACAAAAGGGGTGCCTGTAGAGATGCTGACTTGAGTTTGGATTACAATTTCTGATTATCTGCATCCGTTAGGGAAGGAAGACTCAAAAAGCAAGGAAGGATCCAACTCTGCATGTACTTCCTACTGAGTTGTTAGCAGTAGCTTCCCAAACCCCCAAACGCAACATTTCTCAGGAAAACCACAACAGTCCACCAAGAATAAGCTGTCACCCCAAAACGCTAAAATAATTTTGTAATGGCAATCAGCATCGCAACATAAGAAAACCTGGCCTGGTACACACTTTACCTTGAGGAAAATCCCCCTGGGGGTAATCAAAACGATGAGGATAAGGAGGCCTTTCAAAGGGATGGCGAGGTGGAAAATCATCCTGCATGAAGCGAGGTGGAAAGCGGTTGAAATTATGCGGATGCGGGGGCTGGTTGAATTGGGGATGTTGCTGATGTGGAGGAAATGGGCCTCTGAAGTGAGGTGGCCGCTGCATTCGAAATGGAGGTTCCCTTTGACCCCCACCCCATGGAGGTTGTTCATGCTGGTTGTTCCACGGTGCTTCAAACTGGTTGTTCCAAGAAGGATCGGGCTGGTTGTTCCAAGGTGTCTCTCGCTGGTTGTTCCAGCCTTGATCTCTCTGTTCGTTCCACATTCCTTCATGGTTGTTATTCCACGGAGGACAATGAGGTGGTCCCTAGTGGTGAAGAAAAGAAGCCTGGTCATTAGGCTACAAAAATAAAGCATGCAATAGAAGAAATCTACCTTTTATAAGTAAATATAGCCTGCAGGCAACATGCACAAGTGAAAGAATTTTCCAAACACAAGGTCTGAACAACTGCAGCTTCAGAGAAAAGACAGGAAAAGACCAAACTGTTACTGAACCACACAGCTCTGTACTCAAGACAGTACTTCTTGTTCTGCTTGTTCATAGGGAAAGTGTGATGGTTGACAAACTGAAATACAACTTATACTTTGCCTTTAACTGGGCTCAGAATGAGAAAGCTTGGCATTTGAATCTGGATTTATAACTTTCACAGCTTTTCACCACACTTCCACAACCAAGACGGTCATTCTGAACCTCCGCCTCCCTCTACATCTCGTTTCAGAACTGTGTTTCTTACCTGTTGTTGACCCCATGGTGCAACAGGGTGAGGTTGATCAAACCAGGGTGGTTTATTTGGAGGAATCTGATCATGGGATCCAGGGCCACGTGGTCCACCAGAGGCAGGATCCTGCACTCCAGACCCTGTTGTGTCATACTCTGTAGAACCAGCTAGAGGCAGCTGAGATTTACCATCATCTGAAACAAATTGGAGACTATTACAAGCATCCAGGTCATGTGTCATTAATAAAACACCAGCACACCTACAACAGGCTCCATCTGAATTTTGTTGGATGTGTAAATATTCTGCAGAAATCTGTTACTGGGAGAGAGGATTTCCGACCCGTTTAACACTTGTCTCTCTGGTTCTTTTTATATTCAAGCATCAGACTGCACCAGCTGCAAGCCTCCAAACAGTTTGAGGCTTTCGCCTGAACCAAACCAGCACAGCACAGCACCTCACTACTAAAAAAGGAGCAAAAAAAATAATCTCACAGTGTTGCCACCCACTGATTTCTGCACAGGGCCCCAGAACAGGTTAGTACCTGCTTGTGTAACTGGAGCAGATGGTGGAGCCGAGGCTGGTGCTGCTGTGGGGGCTTGAGGTGGGGGTGTCGATTTCACCTCGTTCTCTAGTGGTGGTATTTGTATTTGTTGCTGCTGCTGCTGCTGCGTTAAGCTGTTCACAAACTCTTCATGTTGAGTTTTCAGGTTCTGTATCTGCTGTTGGAAGGCTACTTGTACAGGCTGTACTACCGTTGCATATTCAGTGATCAAATTTGCCTGATAAAATGAGATAAATTAAGAAGAACAAGTTAACGCTGTACCTAAACCAGTTATCCTATCTGCTCCTGCAGAATCGCCTAGATTGCTCTCCACCCCTCCCAAGAAATGCATGAGCATGCAGGAGAACCGGCTGGCAGAACCACCCAACCACGCTATGAAGCTCTGTGAAGATTTCCAAAATGCTCTCTACAGGTTAGAATCCACTGTCTATATTAATGCCTCGCTTTCAAATACAGCTAAAAATCAACAGCATTCATTATTAATGTTAAAAATTAATAGTTCCTGCTGCCACAATACTTTTTATGCTTACTGTATACAATTTAAAGCTATGGTTTCTTTAGTTTCCTTTTTACCATTCATCTCCATAAAAAGAGAACACACTGTCAAATATGTACACAACTGTAGTAGTTACAAATGCAAACAGGCTTTCCGGGATCGGATCAGCAGCCGTATTATCAAATATTTGAAATAACAAGGTTATGTTTTACATTATTTTTGTAATCCTTTGTAAACAACTTCAAGGCAGGGGGGAGCAGGGGGAATTAATATTTACCTTTCAAAAAAGGAAAACATTTCCTAAAATTGTTTTCAAAATATTTACATAAATAAGAAAACTGTTACTTTTCTTTCGTGGCTAACCTGGTACTGGCCAAGTCCAAGAGCTGGGCTCTGTAACTGCTGAATAATTGACTCATCAAAGTATCCATTTTTCTCCCATAGTTGAAGAAGCTGCATAAATTCAAGAGTGAAAGGTTTTTAGAAATTATGAATGATAAAAGAAAAACTGAGGCACAGCATTTTTATGTCTCTAGCTTTGTCAAAAGACCCAGGATTTCAGCACTTGTCTTTGAACCACCGAAGATTCAGATGCATTCATCAATACGGTAACTCTTAAATAAAGCGTAGGTACTTTTAAGTTCTGGTTTAAACATGAATTAAAGCACATTCCATAATAGACTTTATGGAGACAATCACACTAGACAAATCTCAGTGGTCCTCTTCCACCATCGTATTTGTGAATTTGCCTAGCACTAACCTAACAAAGCAAAGCATACAGTTAAATCAAAACCAAATACTCACTCTGGCAATTTTCTGTTGCTTATCCTCCTCCACCGCTAGAAAACTGGTACAATAAATAGGCACAACCACCTTCTGTAAAGCAGCCAGAAGATCTCGTGCTTGCTTCCGCTGGCTTCAAAAAAGGAATGGAAAGAGAAGAG